TCCCCAATTGGGCAAGTGGCAAATGAGAAAGCGCAGCCACCCACCACATGCGCCCCACCCACCTGTGCCGCAACCACCTTTGCCGCTACCACCTGGGCCAAAACCACTTGCGCCACACCGAACCACCACCAACAGCGCCGCCATCACCTGTGCCACTGCGACCACCAATTGTGTCAGCACTACTTGCAGCACCACCTGCACCGTCTCTGCGACGATTGCTGATATGTACATAGTATTGAGATCATGTTTTGTGGTAGGAATGTTTGTCACGTATAAAGAGAAAACACGCGACAGCCTTCGCAGGATGATCCTTTGGAAGAGCCGGAGGAAGCTCATGAGGCCCTCCGAGAGCTCCTTGGCCTAGAGGTTATGCTTTCGGTGCGTTGGGAGTTTGCGCATCATGAAGGTCAATGACAGAATCTGTCGTGCGAGACATCCAAAGCGTTTGACAACAACCTACAGGGCTTGTTTGGAAATGTTGCGTAAAAGGCGCAGCACAGCTCGGTGCACCGCCGCTTCTGAGGCGAACAAGCCACCTTCCGATCGAAGACGGTGCTCCAGCTTAGAGTCCTGGCCAGGCGCAGCAAGGCCTGGGCATTCCCTTGTGGTGGGTCTTTCTGATGTATGATGTAACTTGTTTTCGCTAGCAGCGGCATGTTCTTGGGAATGTGATGGAATGCGTGTTCGGTCCGATGCAGAGACGTGCCCGATGAATCACGGAGGTTTGCCAACAACGAGCAAGACAGTTCGAAAGCTGAGTCATGTTACAATCCTCCAGATTGGTGGCTTTCACAGGCATGCACAGCCGGGCGTGCACCGTGAGCCGTTTCTAAGCGTTGAGTTCCCCCGGAACAAACCATCGGCATGCTGTGTTGCTCAGGAGTGCAGACCGGCGATCCTTTCAGGGCGAGCTGTCTGGCAGCTTGCAACATCCACCCTCCGCCTGCCACACGCCACGAGGACACCGTTAAGGCCTCGGGCTTGAGGAGTCATCCTGACATGTCTGATACAGGAAGCACGCGCAGCTGAACCGCTTCCTGAATAGATGTCGAGCGCATGGTAGAGTCAAGACAGTGGCAGAAAGTGGGCAAGCTTTCGCGGCGAACATGTTGGCCGATGCCGAGTAGTCTTTTTTTCACAAGCAGTCCAACGGACGACGTGTGGCTTCTGTGGCCTGATCCAGCCACCAGTCCTGGGAGAGACCGGATGTCGCGCTTGAGCCAGGGCTTTCGGTCATGTTCCCCAGAATCGAAGTGTGCTCTGTCCCTGCAAGCACGTAGACAGCTGCCGATGTTTCACTTTGCAGCGAGGGGCCCGGAAGTCCCAGTGCCAGCTGCTCCAAGCGGGAAAATGCAAGGTAACGGTTACGGTACTGGGCACGGTCTGCTTCAAAGCTCGACTCTAACACCTCCTCATTTATCAGCACCCCTGAGTTCCGATGATGCCCAGTGGTGCAGTGAGTTTTGTGTTGCTGCGTGTCCGTTCCAACGTCTACGGGGGCTAAATGAACTCGAACAATCGAACTCGGGGCGACTCAACTCCGACAGCGGTAAGCCAGACCTCTTTCTCTGCCTGATGGGCAGGGACAAGACCTATCGCAGAACACCATGTCTACTAGTTTCCCGAGCATTCAAACCGTGAACCTGCCAGGCTGGCTCCTTCTGATAAAGGAATTCTAGCGGCACCTGCAGTTCCAAAAGAGCCCTGCGCAATAATGAAAGCAGCCATACCTTTCAGAATGACACATGCAGACAGAGAAGGTGTTTCAAGAGGCAAGGAGCTCAGAGCCTCTAAGCATCTCTTAACCCCAAGCCCTAACTCCCTGCGGTGCGACATTGTCAGCTGGGCGGGTGGGAAAAAACACCTTGGGTGGTACTGCAGTTTTTCCGAATCCTCTAATTTGACTAAGACCACCCGAAACCTGATCAAAGGCATGGGTCGCCCTGGCTTTGCCGGAGCCGAGAACTCTGCGGTGCGTGTCGCTGCAGCAGAGTCAGGCCTCGCGAGTTTCGTTGGTAGGACGTGGTTCAGGCCTATAGAGCTTTGAAGCAGTGCGTTGACGGGTGATGTGGGATGTCTGGTCCTGCACCTAGTCTTCTAAGACCACTCAGTGGTCTTGGAACGGGCAGGCGGGGTTCTCAGGGACCTTGTCGAACAGGAGGCCAGCCTCCTGCCAATAAACCGGCAATCCGAGTCCCGCAGAATTCTAAAGCCAGATTTCCACGAGGTGTCTTGCTGCAGAGCTCTCCGTGTCCACCTCCAGGTGTGGGATGGCCAAGGCGAATGCATCTTCCGCTTGCCGTGAATAATGCGGGCTGTCCATGGCGTCGTCGAAGCTCAGAAGACCACATGGGTCGTAGGTGAGTCTGACAATCCAGTCACGATGCCAGGGTCTGGTTGGCTCGTGCTCGGGTGATGGTAAACATGTTTTTGGTGGCCTCGTGAAGAAGCTGTGAACCTCAGAACAAAGTGGCCGACGTGTGGGGAGTTGGTAGCGGTTTTCCTGATGTGTTGTTGGAATTTTGGGCAGTACTCATCATGCTACAACATGCAAGTACTCCGGAGCTACCAGTCAAACCAACCAGTCTTTCAGAATGTTGGCAGTCAGCAATCCATCCGCGTGTGATTCGGTCCCATCAAGACACCCGACGTGTTCGGCTGAGTCCTGTCTGCACCCATCATTGTGACCACAGCATCGGTGCTGTGGCCTGGCGGCACCACATCAAGGCATTGCTTCTGGTATGCAAAAACACTTTAAAAATACATGGCAACACCGGTCTTCTCATTGCTTCGGGCAGGCTGGCAGCTCGAACACACCTGGGAGGTGCCCAGCGAAGGAAGGCTGCTGGGCTACGACCTGGCTCTTGGGCTGCATCTGATTGTACCTGAGGTGGCCCTCAATCCTCGCAGGAAGCGTGCGGGAGCAAGGAAATCCGAAAGCCCTTCCGATGAGCTGCTAGCTGCTCGATATTGCACGAGGTGGTGCAGCTTGAGACTGTGACCGGCAGAGCCAGAAAAACTGCGCCGGCTTCCAGGTGGTGCCCAGCTCCTGCACTGGCGGGCTGGATGCTGGTGGCGCAGCTGCAGGGCGTCGTTTCCTTCAGAATTTACAACACTGCCTATCCAGAAGCCCATGGGGTCGCTGCCCAGAGCGAGTCATGCGAGTCGTCGTGAGTCAACCTGCGAACGAGCAAAGCACGCAGCCGGAAATCTAGTTGCACACAAACTGCTACGCAATCAGCAGTCAGAGAAGCTATGAATGACAGGGCAACTGCTTATGGTAGGAAGTGCGCCAGATTGCACCAGTGCTGGAACGATCCCTGGAGCGGGAATACTTTCACGACTCACAAGCTGCAAAGCCCTCCACCCTGGTCTGTGCCGAAAAATCTCTCCGCCCCAAACTCCCAAGTCTTCAACTTCCTTGACGATATTTTCAGTGTGTTTCGGTGGTTCTCGTTGAAGGGCCAAGAGGTAGCGCGGCCGCTAGAATGGGCATGATCGACGTGCTCCAAGGTCAGTGGGTTTGTTCGGGCTGCCAGCCGAGCCTGGAATCTGCACTTCACGTTTGTGCTGGTTGTGACGTGCATTTGGTGCGGTAACTACGCTAGGACGGCTTCTAGAGACCCTGGGACTTTGCACCGTCAGGGCAGGAAACAAGAAGTATTCCCTGAACGCCCTTGAACCCAGACGCCTCGCCCGCATTCTCCGCTGTGAGAGTCAAAAGCCCAAAATATGGCTCAGCCTGGGCCTGCTTGAGGTGGCGGTCTCCAGCACGACTGCGATGGTGCCCCGGTAATCGGCCTCAAGGCGTTTCCTGAAGCCTTTGTTGGGGTCTATTGGGCTTTACTTGGGGCTTGGAGTTTGGGCGGTATTGATTTGGGGTACCAGGGCTGACTAGGTGAGAGCATCATCGGGTTCTCAGGATTGCAAGCTCTGGCATGATGTAGAAAGAACCTTTCTTTTCATTCTTTTTTCTGGCCTTTGTCGGCAATTCTGCACCCAAATCTTGCCGACAAAGGAGAGTGGCAAGGAAGACCAACCCCATGACACTGTGCATGCGAATCAGATTAGGGAGTTTATCGAACTGCTCAGATACTAGAGTATTGATTTTCGAGGGGTTGCTTGGATTATCCGCATCATGAAGATGCGACATCCTAGGGTTTTAAGGTTATTGGATTATCCGCATCATGAAGATGCGACATCCTAGGATTTTAAGGTTCATGATCACTATGAACACGAAGATGCGCAGCTTCTGTCATACTGCATTGGCATCTTTACCAACACACCTGAACGCAGCTGACGCCTCGAGACTGCGCGAGAGATAGAGAGGGGCAGTGACAACGATACTTAGGATGATTGCGGTGCTGATGATGATGGGTATGATGGTGACCAGGTTGCAGGGACAACCGGTAAAACCCCTCTTTCGGTTGCAAGCATCGGTAGGCCGGCAGCGCCATGGTACCACAGAGAACGTTCTAGGGTTGTTGTAGATGGGCACGCGCACTTGCCGTTGGTGCAAAGAAACCTCTCGACACGCAGTGGGACCTGCTAGCCAGTCTTCTTGTTGCCGGTGGTAGCCCTAGTGACCCAGTGGCCTTCTCCAGACCTTCCAGCATCCGTGAGTCGCGCCGTTATGGGCATGTAAGCGGAGTCGTCAGGGTTGCGAGCAAACAGTCACTGCAGGAGGGTGACACCTGCAAAGCCTCCTGCGCACCAGGCGGACTTTTGTGGCTGCTGGGAGCTTCAGAAATGTAGCATTGCCGGGTCTGATTCAATCGCTGCCCTTGGCACGTGATCCCCCGGCCGGATAGCCCGGATGGTCGCGAGGATTTGTGGGCGGCGAAGCTCAGTTTGTCTGCCAAGGCACAAGGGCATCGGTTTGTTTATGAGGGCGTCGGATGCATGAAGCTGTGATAGGGGAACCTTCTGTCGATGTGGTGCTACAGGATGTGGTTTGCGCGGAAACTCATAGAAGCAATCGTGATCTTCACTGAATGGAGGCGATGGCACACTGCAGGGTGCCGCTCCGACATGTGTGGATGTGCAGCAGTGCCCCACTGAAAAACTTAGGAATCATGACATGAAGCCCAACGCAGCCTGTGCTGGAACTCATTCCCCTTGCCTGATGCGTTTGCCTTTGTGAAGGTACACGCAGTTCTCGATCTATGCCCTCGCTGCATTGACGGTGCTCGGGCTTGGGTGCATTTACAGCTGCCGCTCAACTGCAAGAATTTGCGTGCAGATACCTCTTCACACTGTCTCTGCAGGGCGCACAGCTTCCGGAAGTGACATGCCTCTACTGATCTTGCTGGTTACTGTGTCGGGAACGTGGAAGTGGGGGGAGATGAAGGTCAAAGTCCTTATTTCCCGTAGATCCCCGGACAGGGAGCCGATGAATCGACCGATCGGGTTGCTTTCAGCATGCAAGCAGCCCATGCCTTTCTTTTTAACCCGAAGTCCTTATCGGGACCCTGCCAGCATGACACAGCTCCATTCCTTCTTCGGGGAATCACACGACGAGCCCTTCCACCCGGCCGAGCCCGAGGTGTCTGCATGGTGGGCAAGGCCGACATGGTCGCTTCGTAACGGAACTGGTGTACGAATTTGAAGATAAGACGTGTAGTTGCAAGACCCTTGCGTATAACACGGCAAACTCGCATGCATAACTGAAAGAGTAAATGGTTAGATAGAGCTATAAAGGTACATAAAGGCATGCAAATACAGCTACGCTTACATGTACGCATACACGTACACATACGCATACATATGACTATACATAAAGATATGCTTCTGCGTGTACATGTAAGTACATGTGTGCATATGTACGAAAAATATACGCTTACACATTACAGTCATAGTTGCACGTACGTTTGTGTTTCTACTCATACCTATACTATACATATACTTATATCTGCATCTATGTTTACATGTAGCCTTTTGCACTTCACATGTGCGTTGTTATGCATGCATACATCTGTAGTTTTCAACTGCTTATATATGTACACATACATACACGCATACATCTACACATATGCATAACACTTACGCAATTATGTGTTCATGTGTGTCGTACAGTCAGATGCTTCTGCGTTTATGAGTTTCATATTTACACTTACGCACATACACACATCTTCATATATGTCTAGATGCATATGTACATATTTGTACTTGCTTTAATAGTACTTGTTTAGGTATCTATATATATACACATAAGAGAGGACCTTTTATGCTCCATTTTGTCGTCTGTTCTTTCGGGATATGTTAATGCTAACTAAATGGGTTAGATAACTTAAATACTTTTGGACAATTACCAGCCTTTACATTTCAGTCCACCCAAGTCATTTTTTTTAAAACTTTCCTTGATTAGTTTAAGTAATGTATTCATTTAATTATCAGCCTTCCAAATTTCCGTCCCCAAATGTATTCTGTTTCAGCAATACCTTTATAACTTAAATTAAATAAACTAAATCGGGAAAAGCTATTTCAGGATTTGGTTTAATCAGTATATTCAATTAATACTTACATAAGTCAAATAAATGATGTAATTGCAATAAACTAACTACATTGAAGATTTTAAACCACATCGCAATGCAAGCATTGTTCACCAGAAGCTCGTTTACATCCTCTGGTTCGGCTTGCATACATATGAACGCTGTATGTATACTATGTCTGTATAAGGTGAAACATCTCGTAAATGTTAACAGCTGGTTAAATAGAGCGCAACAGCTCCATCCACGTATGTATATATACACATACATATGTCTGTTTGTGCATATGTATGTCTGTACGGATGTATGCATGGATGCGTGCATGCATGAATGCATGATTGTGTGTATGTGTGTATGTGTGTATGCGTGTATATCTGTCTGTATGTATGTAGGTGGGTAGGTAGGTAGGTAGGTAGGTAGGTAGGTAGGTAGGTATGTAGGTAGCTAGGTAGGTAGGGTCGAGCGCGAGTGCCAAAAATGGGTGGATGCACGGACGGATGCTGGTTGCATGCACTGCACTGTCAGCTTTGTTCGTGGATGCTTGTGTGTGCGCACCTGTAACTCTGAATGAACAAACCAAGAAAGAACAAACAAGCGAGCAAGCATACACAGACATTGGGGTGTTCAGATTCGGGGTCAGGGGCATTTCTGGTGTGAGGTGTTGGCTTTGGGCTTCGTGTTTTGGGATTGAGCAACGGTGTGGGTTTCAGGTTGAGGGCTTTCGTTTGGGGCTCATGCCACAAAGAATCATGGGGCTGAGCAAGCGCTTGGAGTTGGGAAGGTGTGAGACTCATGATTCATCTATGAAGGGCGTTTCAGGCGGGCGTGGGGCCCGATGCTGACTCTCCCGCGGCTACGAGAAGCTCGCAACGCCTCGTTGGAACCCTTCAGCCCAAGAGTCTTTCCGACTGAGGGTCGTAAGATGAGGATCTTGTCCTGCTACGCCTCGTGACAGGGCCGCCTCACCTATGATGTCGGGGACCTGCCCAAGAGCTTCCAAGGCACCCTGCCAGGTCGTTTCACGCCGGTCACGCGATAAGATTTCACAGGGCATGCTGGGATTCCAAGATACACTGAGAGAACGTACTGACGTACGGTGTCTGTGAGATGCTACATTGCCCGAGTCCAGCACAGTGCCAGGCCGCTGGCTGGAGTCGAAGGGCATGACGTCCTGGGAGCACGGCACCTGGTGGGACTAGACACGGGCTCTGGCACACTCTGGCCACAGCCACGTTTTTCTAAGGAAGCGCAGCTCTGAGCTTTTGTCTGCCTTCACCCGGCTTGGCGACATGTGATCCCTACCGGAAGGACCTTACTTGTAGCATCCCCGAGCTGCTTAAGCAGGCCAATCAAAGAAGACGCAGCAGCCCCGTAGCAGAGGAGGGGTCTGACAGGGTCCACGGCCACTTCTGGTTGCATTTCAGATCTGCGCTTGCACCTTGGGTTCATCCCTTGGCTGAGCTCGACCCAGCCACTGCATCCCTCTGCCCAGTCTGATGTTTGCAGAGCAGCGAGCACGGAGTAAGGCAGAGGCGGGGAAAGAGACTCGCTCTACAGCCTCAAAGAGCGGGCTTTAAGGGGTTCCGATTGCGAGTACCAGCGCGCGAACAACACCACTGCTTTGAGGGGTTCAAGGTGTGTATGCAGCAAGCAATGGGTGCACTTCTGGTTGGGTGGGAGTGTGCGGCTCCTTGAGGGGTTTTCAGGATTCGTCCTGTTGCAGAGGCATATCAGTGTTTGTCGAGAACCGATCCTTTACCTCTGTTCATAATGTCACAATGCAGCACAGCACAGTGACAATGGCAGGCTGTGAAGATGTATGCCATGCCGACAGGCACTCTGGGTTTGCAAGTGCTCCAGTGCCATGCCATAGCTTGCCCGAAGCTTTCGTGATTCTTTATGCTAAAGTTGGCAAGAACGAGATGTGAGAGAAAGCACATGCGCAGGAAGTCTGTATTGTGCCTCGACTTCTCGGCGTGGTCGAACAGGATGTTTGACTGACCGGGAACCAAAGTGACCACTTACACCGCCTAATTCTAGGATCAGACGACCGAAACCCACGGGTCCTAACGTGAGAAACTTGCCGTGATGCCTCGAAGAGATGAGGTGCCGCTGCTGGAGATCAGGCCGAGCATGGAGCTCCGAGTAGAGCTATGGGATTTGAAGAGGTGTTGAACCAATGTTAGCTGGATGCTCGCAGCTTGCTCAGTCTTTCATTCGAGCCCTATAAAGTGGTGATGGTAACATACTGACATATTGGACGGAGGTCACCGAGCGCCGTGGCCGAGCGCCAGCGCCAGAAACGATGGAAGGCACCGGAGGCTCCCAGCTCCGAGCCGGGACTTGCAAGCGGATTGGGGCTGGCACAGACTTGCAACAAATCCCCGTGAATCGGTTTAAGCATATCTTTGCACGTGCTCGCTTCCCTGAGCTGTTGCAGTTGGGAACTTTTGATGCAACCGCAGACAGGCTCTGCTGCAAAGCGGCGCCGGCAATCCGGTCAGAAGCAGGCTGGAGAAAGAGCCTAAAACAGTTTCGGACTGTTGATGTCTTTTCCTTGGCTTCGTCCTCTCCGGAAACTTGGTGGGCCACGTACCGCACTATGTACCCGCAAATACGTACTGGACGAGTAGACAAGAGACCGGGATAAACCGTGACTCGAGGTGTACAGGGGTGCGCCTCTCAGCATGCATTCGAGCCGCCTTGGCACGCCAGGGCGTGGATGGGGCTTGCTCACCCTGCGAAGATCCGGACCGCTAGCTTGCATTTGCCAGCATGGCGCAGGCTATCAGGTTCCATGTTTGCAGTAGAAGGGCTTGATCTCTCGTGCGCGTTGCATGTTGGTTTTTCGTGGCCTTCTAGGAATGCCTGCGCATGGGCTCAGCACGCCCTTGCAGAAGCGAATAAGAAGGGATGCTCGTGAGAAGTGGCAACTGTCTTTCTGTCTCCCAAGTTTGTCTGGTTGGGCATGCAGCATGTCTTTCATCTCCGTTTCTCTCTGTGGATAGACTCTTGCGTGCTCTGACGAAGATCTTGGTGTGCAGAGTCTCACACTGACAGCATTCTCTTATCATGCCTCTGCCTTTCTTGAAGCCGTGTCACATGCCGCCGCATGAATTTACACTGCACAAATGAGTAGATTCAAGCGGAAACAAAGTAGCAAAAACCAGCACCAGGATTAACAGCAGAAGCAGCATCGTTGTGGTGTAGGACTGGTCGTACACTTGCATCAGAACTAGAAGGGAACGTTCAGCAACAAGACTAACGGCGACAACTGTGGAAGGAGCAGCAGCGACGTACCAGCGATAGTGATAAGTGATAATCATCGCGGGAATCCACAGAGACACGGCTGCACAACACTTGGTAGTGTTGCGAAGAAATTGCCGGTTGGATTCCCATGTTGAACAGGACTTATGCGTGGCCTACATGCTTTGCCCATTGTGCCGGCAGGTGGGGGGACAGGAATGACTTGGGGAGATGTGAGACGTCTGGTACTAAGGCCTGTGAAAACGACTAATCCGGAGAAAACGTGAGGGACAGACAGAGAAAGCGAGATGGAGTTTCTATGGTTTCTTGATGCCGGAAACCGGGGAACCATGCCTTTTCGAGGTGATGTACGTACGTACATGGACAGCCAGATAGATAGATAGGTAGGTAGGTGTGTGTGTAGGTATGTAGGTATGTATGTGTCTGTCTATGTATGTGGGTATGTATGTAAAGGTATCTATGTATATATATATATATACAAATAGTCATTCGTTCATTTTTAAATATCAGTAATGTAAAATGTGTATGTGTGTATGAGTATATGTCTATGTGTATTCATATGTATATGTGTATTTACATGTACTGAGTCATGTGTAGTCAGTAGTATGTAACATATTCTGCAGTATGTATGTGTGCGTGTGCGTATATATATATATACACATAGTTACAAAAAATATTTACACGTACACACATATACATACATGCATGCATACATACATACTTATTCAGATACGAAAACGAACGCTTAGAAGCCAGCAGGCTTGTTTTTGAGATCATCTCCCGTTCCTGTTTGCAGGAAGCCCAACAATGGAGCACTGGTGTCCCCTCCCTTTCTGTATCCCAGGCCTCCAACAGCTTTGCCGTTTTCCTCCTGCTGCAAAACAGGCGGATACCTGGCACACCTTGGGCGTCCCAGAGTGGCAAACCTACTGGAAGGCCTATGCCGGGGTTACTTCTTCGTGTTGAAAGCTTGGGCGTAGCCAGCGAGAGCCAGAGCGCATCCGAAGCACCCTTTCAAAAGCAGGTTCTCTCAACCGCATGGACCTCGGCATTGAGTCCCAACTCCACGGATCCCAAAACTCCGAGGTCCTTATCTAGGATTGAGGCATCTCGTGGCTTCTAGCAGGCGAGTACCGGAGCCAAGCGTTTTGAGCACAGAAGGTGCTTGCCGCCTACATCCTTTGCCCGTGGTGCTGGCCCTGCCTGAACTTCTACGGCAGATATCGCCGCCCAGCTTGCAGAGGGTAAACCACCGTGGGTGTTGTCGATGCTCGAGGGATGGAAATGCTGCCCTCTACTGCAACCAAGCTCGGAAAGCCTTAGGCTGTGCCAAGGACCACGCTACATTGGGCAAGGCTTGAAGCATGTGTGGGCACGCCTGCATCCAGGCATCCGCCAGGCCTTCAAAATCAACCTGGAGCCACACCGCGACTTCGTGATGCACTGCTGCTGCTGCTGCTGTTGCACAGCTTGCGCCTCGCCAGTGCTTATATTCCTAAGCGCGCTCCTCAAAAGACATCAGGCCTCCAGGGAGTTGCTGTCAAGTTGAGGACCGAAGCCAACTCTTGAAGCCGTAACAAGATCTTGATCCTCTTGCCCACCTCTATCGCAAACACTCTTCAGGTTATGTTTGCTCCGGGAATTCTGGTAGTGGTGATCAGCGATGAGCCATGCCTTCCAAGGTTTATGTAATCCGTGATGTCAGAAACATCGGCGACGAAACGATTCACATAGAACATATGCAGGATTAAAGGACGGTTGGAATGGCGACCAGGCTTTCTTGGATAGGTTCCATTGTTGGTTAAGTTACACTAGAAGTTTTCAAGACTCTTTCGCGACCATGGTGGCATAGCACCACCGCAGTCACTCTAGTGCAAGAGCATGTCGAAACATGTCATATGAACATGTGTCTGGCATCAGCACTCACTACCTGCAAATAGTCGCAGCTTCAATCAGATGCATGTAGTCCAGTTAGTGACCAAAAAAGGCCTGCAAGGTGTGTCACCAACAGCGAGGCTCGTCAGTACACGGCCAGCATTGCAAGATGCCTTATGTTTGGTATCACTTTGCAGGTAAGCCAACTTGAAATCCCAAATTGATTTCACAGGAAAGCAGGGTCTTCTTTGAGTCTCTTTCTCTCTCTTTCTCTCCCTTTCTCACACTTTTCTTATATCTCTCTCTCTCTCTCCCTCCCTCCCCTCCCTCCCCTCCCCTCC